CATGCTGCTTCTGCTTTCTGCCTGGGGCTGCCCCTTGGAAGCCTCCTGCTCGCTGTGCAGGGTGTGGGAGAGAGAAGGGGGGGGCTGATGTCAGGGTGTCCCTCTTCCCCCCAGTCCTGTGCCCTGTCTCCACTCAGAGAAGGGGAGGGCGATAAGCAATGCAAAACTCCATATCTGTTACACAATGTGTGTGTCTGTCATTCTCACAAACACACACACACACACTTCACTGTCCTTCACTCTTCTCTCCCGACCTAACACATACGTGAGTTGTTGTTGTTATTTCTTTTACTGCTTGCCAAGTGGGGTAGTTTGGGGTTTTGCCTGGTCTTTGCATTGCGTCATTTTCATTTCTCTCTGACGCTGAAATGTAATTCGTTGAGCGGTGAGTTCTAAAATGCCGAACGTGTCGTGGCCGGAGGAAGTATCCCCGTGGGAATTGCTGGTTCTGGACGTGGCTGGGCTGTCCCTGCGGCCTCCGAGAAAGGCAGAGCAGGGGGTCTCCACGTGCTGTCCTGGCCTGCAGACACTGCTCCTGCAGCTCCCTCTGATCGATACAAGGGAACCGTGGCCTGTAAAAGCTGTGGGCTCAGGGCCTGTAGATGGGGGCAGCATATGGCACCATGGAGCTAATGTTGGACGTGCCAGCTGCTTTCAGGAGCAGTGCAGGGCCAGGACAGGAGCGAGCCGCTTTAACCTCCCTGCTCCACCACCCGGAAAGTGTCTTAGTTAAACGGTGCCCTGCGTCATGAACCCCTGTCCCAGCCCTGAACCGCCTCCTGCCCCCAACCTCTTGCCCCAGACAGGAGTCCCCCTGCACCCAAATGTCTTCCCATAGCTTGCACCCTGAATCCCCTCCTGGACCCCAATCCCCCCTCTGGGGCTAAGCCAAGAGCCCTTCCCACATGCCAACCCCCTCGGACCAAGACCAGAGCCTGCACCCAACTCCCTACCCCAGCCTGGTGAAAGTGAGTGAGGATGGGAGAGGAAGGGGGTTGGAGTGAGCAGGGGGAGGCCTTGGAGAAGAGGAGGAGCAGGGGCAGGCCTCAAAGAAGGAACCAGAAGGAAGTGGGGAAGGGTATTGGGGTTTGAGGGAGATCTTCCATTGCACTTCCACTGAAAAAGTGACCTTGTGGGTAAAAAGGTTGGAGACCCCTGCTTTGGATTTACCCCGGGCTCCTGCGATCTGATTTCGCTCCCGAGATATTTCGCCGCAGCGGAGTCACTCCGGATTTGGAATAGAGGAGCTGAGCTCCATATCCAGCCTTGTCACCACGCCTTGCGCCGAAGTCATCCAGATTGGGAACCAGATCGCTGAGCCTGGGTCTGCACTGGGGAGTTATTTCAAAAATCACTTCCTAGCATGGACAGGCCCTGAGTTCCCACGCCCACCGGGACTCCGGGAAGGAAAAGAACCTAACGACAATCCAATGTCCATCAAATCCTCCAAGACAATACAAGCTACAGGGACACTGCAGGCCTTTTGCGCAAGAACAGTTGTCTACACTGCAAGTATTTCTTGCGCAAGTAAATTTACAGTCTAGCGTCAGAAAACAGGGCTTCTTCCAGAAGAGTTATTCTCTCCCCACGAGGAATAAGTCCTCTTGCGCAAGAGCTCTTCCACAAGAGGCCAGTGTAGACAGGCAACATGAATTTCTTGCGCAAGAAACCCCTATGGTTAAAATAGCCATCGGAGCTTTCTTGCACAAGAAAGTGTCCACACGGCCATGGTCACTCTTGTGCAAAAGCCCATGGCAGTGTGGACACACTCTTGTGGAAGACCTTTTGCACAAGAACTCTTGCGCAAAACAGTTCTTCCGCAAGACCCCTGCAGTGTAGACATAACTTACAATGTGTTGTGACTAATTGCTAGGGTTGCCAGGTGTCCGGTTTTTCACCCAGACAGTCCGGTATTCTTGACCCCCATCTGGAAAAAAAAAGCAGAAAATACTGGACATGCAAAATGGGTGGTATTTTGGTATTTTCTGTTTTACTTGGATGGAAAAATTGGGCAGAGAGGGTGGGAATTTAAAGGCACAGTGACTTTTTTTTTTTTTTTGCTCAACAAATTTGGCCTCCTTTTTTTAAATGTTTGTGCGTGCGTTTCCACACCTAGATTTCTTTTCAGGGTAATTCTCCATTTTCAGAGGCTTTCGTTGCTTGGTGTTTAGGATCATTATAAAATCCCTGCTAGGACAAATAGCAACAGGCTTAAATTGCAGCCAGGGAGGTTGAGGTTGGACATTAGGAAACACTTCCTACCTGTCAGGGTGGTGAAACACTGGAATAAGTTGCCTAGGGAGGTTGTGGAGTCTCCATCCCTGGAGATATTTAAGAGCAGGTTGGACAGACACCAGTCAGGGACGAGGTAGACGGTGCTTGGTCCTGCCACGAGGGGCTGGATTTCATGATCTCTCAAGGTTCCTTCCTCTTCTATCAGTCTATGATTCTATAATTAACCCACCGTCGTCCACCCCATGTCGGCTTCCGGCGGTGGGTTTCCTGATCTGCTGCGCAGAGAGGAGCCGGGTCTCTTCCTTCTCAGAGGCGGCTGCATGCCAACGGCTCAGCTCCGCCCAGTAAAAGAAGGGGGCTTGTTTCTACCGACAGGGGAGAACCGCACACAGGCCAAGCTGGAGCGACAGAGGAAAGTGGCGGCACCTTGTAAGTATCAAATGAGAGGGGAGGCATCACAGGTGGTGAGCCCCCCCCCGGTGCCACGCCGACCGGATCCGCCTCCCCGCCAGAACACGATGGTTTTTGAAGCTCGGCCGCCGTGCCCACGGTGGCATCGGGCCGGGCCGGGGCTTGG